ATAAAGACCATTTTATCGGAATATTTAATGAAAAGTTATAAAGTAGTTGTCTATGAACTGACCTGAGATGCAGGGTGTTAGAACACCATCACCAATGACCATTGAAGTACCTAAGATTGTTGCAAGAAAGAGGACAACTTTACAAGCTGTGCTCTTCTCAAGTTTCTCTTTGATCTTCTGAGCACGATGCAACTGGTTCGACGGCGTGTCAAGTCTATAGTTCGACAGATGCCTGTCCTCAGGTTGATCATTTGGAATCAGGCTCACATTCGCGTACCGACAAATCAGAGAATATAGTGCAAACGTTCCTCCTGTGTTGGAATAAAAAATTGAAGGTATCAGTGAGATGGATGTATCATTTAATATAAATATCTCCAAAAATGGAAAATAGTGTGACGTATATACCATCGCCATTGTCGTTAGCCAAAAGAACGAGGAAGACGTATTTGACCATGGGGACCAAAAAGATGGTGTAGATGATGAGTGAGAGGACACCTAGGATATCTTCATTGTGTTTAATACCGTCAGTGAAAGTGCTCGCGTAAACGTACAGAGGCGATGTCCCGATATCTCCATATATAACTCCTATACTTTGAAAAGCCAGGCTCAGAGTCCTCACCCAATGATCGGAAGCATGATGATGGGTACTGGGCTTGGAAGAAAGGTTTCCGGCCTCCATGTTGAGGGAGTCGACGCGGCGAAGCCTTGCCCACGACACTTTTCTTTCCTTGATTGTGTTATTGTTGTTGCTGCTGCTGCTGATGATTTCCTTTTCAGCCGCCGCTGCTTCTTCGGCGCCGGTGGTAGAGTTTTTGGTGTTGTGCGTCGTCTCCTCCGCCATGTTTGCTTTCTTAATCAGCTGTGTTTGTGCGCAGTGTGCTTGCTTACTATTACTTTGCGACGGGGTATAAATAGGCCTTTCATATTTGAAAAGTCTTACCTTTATGACTTCATCATCTACAAGTGTTAATATAATATGTAACTGCTTGCTTATTCATTCATGTACTCCCACTTCTATTGGCGTGCTTCTTGTTAATTCATTTGTTTCTCTAAACATTTATTTAATTAATTATGTGCATTATTGGCATTGCTTCTCTTAAAAATTTTCACTATTTACATTCCTCTCCTCCACCCCGATCTCCATTTGTCCCTTCACTTTTGTCCCTTCACTTGTACTTATTTCATTCTCTTTCTTTTTAGTTTACCACTATTAACACACAATTTCACTTGTTGACAATCCAATTTATTTGGTTCCGTCCTCTCCAATTACGGTGAATTTCGAAAATCCGTATCATTAACTTTAGGGGTCATTTTTCTTATCTAATATAATGTTCGATGTATTGAATTGGACAAAGTACGTAAAATAGTTATTTCATCATTGTTGTTAGTGTCAGTAATGTCACAATGAGGTATATTCCTATACTGAGTATTGACTGAATTTAAATGTAATTGTTTATCAAGATATGTGATTGTTAAGTAGACTTGAAAGAAAATATTTTTGAATTGATATTCTAAACTTCACAAAGATTTTCTTTTTATTCTAATTTCAATTTAAAGATTCGTAATAATAATTGAAGGTTTACTTAAACAATGAAATATTTTTAAAATTCTAATTTTGATTTGACGTTTACAATTTCTATACATAAATATAGCAAAAAATATTATTTTTTATTTTTATTATTGACATTAAGAGCAAATATATAATTGAAAAAAAAAGAGATCAGTGAATGTGGTTGCTTAATTATTATAACTAGCATTTTTTTCCTGTGCGATACACGGGATATTATTTCAAAAGTGAAAAAGAAAAATCAATTTAATACATAATAAGAAAATAACATAGTAATATTTAATAATGTAGTATTACTCATTTTATATAACATTAGTTTTTTTAAATCTTACATATTAAGATTTATAATCCAAATATATAGGTTTAGATCTAAGAAATCGAATTTCTATCTTTATATATTAGGGCATATTACAAATAAGCCCATCAGTGGGAACTTATTCATAAAGAGATCCAGACAATATTCTTCTTTACCAATAAGTCCACACATGGTCCAGATTTATGTAAAGGACTAAAATAACCCCTCTTACTTTAACATGCTCCAATTCATCCTAACTTACTTTAACTTCAATTTGACCCCAACTTTCACAAATTATTCAATTTTGACCCAAAACTTTTTTTTTTCCACAAATTTTGTTTTTTTCAAAAACTTTTTTTTCCGGCCGGATTCCGGCGTTGACCGGCGGTCAACGCCGGTCTCCGGCGTGGACTTTTTAATTATTTTTTTTTTTTTTTTTTTTTTCCCTTCCGGATTTTTTTTCCGGAGTCCGGCGTTGACCGGCGGTCAACGCCGGCGTTGACTTTTTAATTATTATTTTATTTTTTTTTTTTCTTCCGGATTTTTTTTCCGGATTCCGGCGGTCAACGCCGGTCTCCGGCGTTGACTTTTTAATTTTTTTTTTTTCCTGTAACTTTTTTTTCCGTTTAAACAGCAATATTGCTGTGAATGACAGTAATATTAACTATATTACTGTTAAACACAGTAAAATTAACTAAACTATAGTTTAACACATTGATATTGCTATATTAATCTCTAGCACATTAATATTAACACAACAAAATTCATTATTATTGTATAATAAAGTAATATTACTATGTTGTCCGTTCAACAAATGTAAACAAAATAAAAAAAACCAAAAGAATTAATATTACTGTGAGTGACAGTAATATTACTATAGCAACAGTAATATTACAATAGTAGACAGTAATATTATTACGTTACTTCGTGAATAACTCGAACAAAACAAACACCCCAAAAAAATAATAATATTGATGTTGTTGACAGTAATATTATTGTGTTTACAGTTATTTTACTGTCAACGACAGTAATATAATTACGTTGACTTGTCAACAAATCAAAAAAAATAAAAAAAAATAATAATAAATAAAAAAATATAATATTGCATTAATTTACTGTCAACGGCAGCACAATTACATAAATGTAATGTCAACGGCAGTACAATTACGTTAATTAACTATCATTGACAGTATAATTACGCTAAATTACTGTCAGTGACAGCACAATTACGGTCAACGTGTAGCGGCGGGCGTGGAAAAACAAAACAAACCAAACAAAAAAAAAAAACTTAAAAAAACACTAAAGAAAGAGACCGCCGGAAACCGGCGAAAAAATCCGGAAGAAAAGAAAAGAAAAAAAAAAAAGAAAAAAGAAAAAAAAAAAAAAAAAAAAAAGTCAACGCCGGAGACCGGCGTTGACCTCCGGAAAAAAAATCCGGAAGAAAAAAAAAAAAAAAAAAAGTCAACGCCGGAATCCGGCGGCAAAAAAAAGTTTTTGAAAAAAAAAAATTTTTTGAAAAAAAAAAAAATTTTGGTCAAAATTTAATAATTTGTGAAATTTGGGGTCAAATTGAGATTAAATTAAGTTAAGGATGAAATTGGAGCATATTAAATTATACTCCAAAAAAAAGTCAAAATTGAATTTTTGTGGTCAAAATTGAACTTTTATGGACAAAATTGATTAATTTGGATTATAATTAAGAATTGGGTATAAATGATTGAGGGTAATATTGGGATATACATGAATGTTTCCTTTAGTTATAATAAATATTAAAGGGATGGGCTTATTGGTGAAAGAGATATGTCCCCTATACCTAGAATAATAAACATGCTTGGTTGGGGACTTTTGCATAAAAATCCCTATTATCTCTGCCTAATTTAATTGTGCCAAATAAACAGGACCATATTATCCATAAAGGAATACAAATTGAAATGAAAGTTCAATAATAAAAGCAATAATAATTAATAACAATTAATTTGTGAGAGAAAAGGGGAAAATAAAGAGGCAAACAGTTCGTTGGTCTTTAATTGCATTAGAACAAATTTAGGCTTGGATTAGGACAAGTATTTATAGTTTGCACGTAGTTGCATATGCTACACAACATTGATTACGTTTTGCTAACATGGCTGCTGTAATAATTTGATATACGTCGCTTCACTATTTATATTTCAACTTATCAACTTTTATTAATTTATTATGAAATTTTATTTTGAACGAGTTATAGATTTTTAATTCAATCAAATATGAAATTGAAGCAAAGTGCTGAAAATTAACCGAGTTTCTCAAAATTTGAGTCCGAAAATTTCAAAACGATCGGTGTAAAACGATATGTTTATCTTTATCTTTCAGGATTCCTAGTTGACACTAACAAATTCCAAGACCCAATTACTGAAAAATCATTTCGAATTCATCGATATTATTAATTTAAAGAGTAATCAAGCTGGGTCATTAATCAATATATTGCTTATTTATAAATATAAGATCAAGAATAATGTCTTTTTTTTTTTTCTTTTAATGAATGAAATAATTGTTTTATTCTGTTTATATTTTTTGTCCTCAATGTTATTCCTTGTTGGGCCAAAAGCTACTATTTTTAAGTGGAGTTTAACTACTTAAATAAGACCAAATTTTCAAAGCCCATAGAATCCAGCTTCATGAAACTCAAGCACACAATGAAAGGGGTCTAAGTGTGTTGAGCCACTCGACAAAAGCTCGATCTTGAGTTTTTCTTGGGAGCTTATTGACTTTACTACCCTTGTGAAAATTAGGGGTGGGGTTTGGTAGGGCAACCGTACCAAACCCGTCGAATCACTACCACTATCGAACTTTCGATATTATAAAATCCATTACCATTGCCCTGCCAAGAAGTTCGGTATACCGAAATTCGGTATACCAAAAGTTCGGGACAGTAGGGTATGGTAATGATAATTACCAATTTATGTTATCTACTATTTAAGTCTAAATTGAATATCATTTTTTCAAAGCAATTCAAGGTATACATGTTTAAAATGTACAAAACTAGTTTTTCAAAATATAAGTATTCTAAATATATGTTCTTAATTTACCCAATATAAAATATTTTTTAAATAAAATTATAACATAATTTTTTTTAACATCAGTTATATCATAATTAATGAAAGCAACTTAATATAGTTTTGACATATCTAAAGAGTATAATTAATTTTAACTAATACTAGTTAATTAGGATACTATATTAACTTTTTAAATATGATAAATGACTTATTAAAATAAAATTTTATTTATTAATAATATTTCGGTACGGTAGGGCAATATACCATTTTAATAATATTAAGTGCCGTTGCCCTACCAAAACATTTCGGTAGGGTACGGTAATAATTCGGTAGAAATATTTCGGTAGAAAATCGGTAGGGCTTGGTAGGGCAACGGGTTGGTACGGCAATTCGGTAAAAAAAACCCACCCCTAGTGAAAATTGCAATTGCGCGATTTTACCATGTCATAATCCTTCTTTTTTTTTTTCAAATCCCCCTCGTGCTTATTTTTAGGTTGCACACTCTACCCATTTACATTTAGCCTGTTGACCAGCTGTGAAAAGACCAAAATACTCCGGGGGTGTTTTTCCAATTAAAAAAATGTTTAATATGTCTGTCCGAGCGCTGCTGCTGTTGGTCTTTTCCCTCATCGTTGCAGCGCCATTTTCTTGTTTCTTGCACCTTCAAAACCTGCAAATCAGAGATTTGGATCTAGTTGGCGGAGAGGATGAAGAAGAGAAAAGACGAGGGAGACAGAGCGTCGTCGATGACAGCAATGCGCGCTGGCGATAGTGATGATTTGTAGGAGTAGGCGGGCTGATTTGGGGTTGGGTTGAAGATTTAGGGTGGAAATTAGAGTAATAAGTGATATGAAATTAGGATTATGTTAAAGTGCAATATGAAATTCATAAATGCAAATCACATAATTACTGTTTGTGAAGAAGGGTAATTTCGGGATAAAAAGTAC